ATCTGACGACAGCGTGGGAGAGAGGACTGACACTGTCGATGTGAGAAAACTTGATCGGAATACACGCCAGCTTGTCGTCGATAGAGCAATGGCCACTTCCGAGCAGGATAACTACAAGTTGCTTTCCGGCGTTAAAGAGCGCCTCGATAGGTATTTTCAACTGATACATCCATTTATCTTTCCTTTCTAGCGACTGATTACTATGCGACAACGTACAATCTCTTAATATATATAAGTTATTTCTGCATGAATCTGATACATCCGTTAATTGCAATTTTTATCATATACCTCAATCGAGCTTTACTACAATTTGCTTTAGAAATTATGTGAATCACTAATTTACTTTAGAAATTAAAGTTGAATGTAAAGTATTGTTAAGTTACAATGCTTTTACAATATTATTAGATCACATAAACAAGAAGCATAAAGAATTCTATAATTTTATACTCTGTGCATCTAACTAGAGGAAGATTCATCATCACTCGAAATAAAATATATGTCGAATTTCAAATTTTAATCTATTATTTCAGCATCTAATCAACCTATCAAAATTGCGCACACTATATAACAATCAATATTCATATTAAGAACTGAAGACAAATGTGATTTTAAGCACATGCTACTTTAAATTAAAACTTAAATTAGAATGCACTTGAATTAAATACAGAACAATAAATTGAACTTGTAGAGCCAATAAATTGAGAAAAAATAAAATAAAAATGATAAACAATAAAATCTGAAATCGTTAAGCCCCGAGCTGGCTGGTTCTTTGTCCGCCTAGTGCCAATATATTTGATGAGAACTGCGGAAAATATTTAGGATAATTTCCCCAAAATAGGCGAAAGGAAAGCCATTATATTGAGTTTTTAGATACTTTTATCAACTCGTAGATGGCATAATCTTGAGAAATTAGTTAACGGAACGGTAATGATAGGCTATTATTCTTTTTGCTAACTTTCATAACTTGCAATATTAATATTTATAGCTTATTAATAACGGCTTTGAATTTTCATTCTGGAAAAAGTGTGGGATTGGAGGTTCCTAAAGTTGAAGTTCGATACGAGGACATAACAATCACAGCAAATGTGAATGTTGGCTCCAGAGCTTTGCCTACTTTAATGAATTCTGTCCGCGATGTCATTGAGGTAAAACATTTAATCCTGCAACTAATTTTCTCTGTTAGTCTTCTACCTTAGACTAATAATGCTTATGATAGTTTCTCTAAGTGTATTTTCTGAATTTCAGAATATATTGACTCGACTGAGGATATTCCGCCCTAAGAAACACTCTCTAACCATTTTGAATAACATCAATGGTGTTGTAAAACCTGGAAGGTAAGCTTTGACTTCTTCTTCTTCTTTTTCTTTATTGGATTTTTTACTGCTGATAACTGCCTTGTGTATGAAAGAAGCACTGTTGTTATGTTGGTAGCTTTTAATTACTATTAGCAACATTCTTCAAATTCGTTATAACCAACACATGCACCGGAAATCTGGAAGGTTGTTCAGCCTGGATATGATGTGGCTGTAGTTGTGGATGTAGGATTTTCACCAAAGAAATTCAAAAAATAAAAAAAGGTAAACATGCGAAGAAGCCAAAGGGATTTAACATCTAATGTATATACAAAAAAAAATGACCTTATATACACAATTTAATTTTCCGGCGAAAGGGGTTTGGCTAC